GGGGGGGGGGGGGCATGTGTGTTGAAGATGGTGACTCGTGAGGGGTAGAATGGACAATAGGGATCTTTGAGCCAAACCAAAGAATGGAAAGTGAAAAAAACAGTGGACAGCCAAAAAGGAAAAGTGAACAAAAACACCTAGACATAGAGTATATTGTATATATAGACCTCGCCCTGCCTAAGGGAGGAGATCACATTCACACTTATTCATTCTATGGAGTACTCTCTCGTTCCACTTTCTCCTCTAGACTAATGTTCTCACAATCGTTTGGGAAAATTCGTCAATTTAGCATAAACGGAGCAAACTTGGCCAAAATATGAGAGGATATACAAACAATCTGAATGAAATCATAGTGACAAAAAAATGCATTGTTGCATACATAAAGTGCATTCATACCATTTTGTAAATGCACATATATAAGAACCCTTAGTTTCAAAGGACGCACTTTGTATCATAAAAATGATGCACTTTTTAATGTTTTGATGAAAAGTTGGTCTAATTCTTCTATTTTAAGTTATTAATGACCAAAAAAATATCAGTGACCAACAAACAACCACGTTTGAATAAGACAATAATTTGGGAGCATTAGAATAGAAACAAAACATATATGAATGACAATATTTTGGCTCGTTAAAAATGGGGTTATGAATTGGATTAACATGAGAGTAGTTCGGGGTGGTGATAATGACACATCCCTCTCACATCATCACTTGGATCAATTCTATAACATAATAACAAGAGGGGAAAGGCCAGAATCACAGTACCTGGGAATGTCATCACACATTTTTGTTTTCTTTTGTTTTCTTTTTTGGTTTAATCCTGGCCCTTGATTAAAGCAAAGGATATTCTTCTTCCACGAGCATCTCGGATCAATCAAATTGTCTGCACATCAAGACAGCTCATCAGACTAAAGAGGCATGTTCCCCCTTACACTGGAATTCATTCATTCAAATATCATTTTCTAAATATTCCTTGCTTCAAATGGAATCTAAGCTAACCCTAGCTGATGATCACTAAAATTTGCCAGGTCACTACCATGACGTTTTAGCAAAAAAAAAGACAGGTTTCCGTCCACTTAAATGGCGTATTCCACGAGTTTTCCATTTTTCACTTACTGCATGAAACATGTGACTTTTATTGTAAGAGTACAATAGCAATCTTAAATAGTCATCCAGATGGTGAATAGAGTTTACATAAGTGGTGGTGTGTGACAAGCAAGACTGCAAATTTTGAACCGGTAGGGCGGACACAAGATAATGTTTGAAAAGCAAGACTGCAACAATAATGGGCCCGATCAACACCAATAATGACACAGAGAGGATGCAAGGTTAAGGATGAGTTTGGGCCAAAAGCATAATCTTACAATTTTAAGAAGTCAAATTTTATAATTAATAATATGAACACAACTGGATAAATTTTGAACCAATTCGTCCATTGCTAATGGAGATAAAAGAGTCATCTAGGGATGGACTAAATAAAAAGGCACATTAAGCTTCCCTTGTGTCTTACTCTATAAAGTTTTGGGAAGTAAACAATGCATCTAGGGTCTCATGGAAACAACCTCAGTTTTTTTTACAGGGTTTAAGATTATGTGCATCTTGACCCCCCCCCCCCCCCCACTACACCCAGGGAACTGGGTTGTTATATTATTACTTTTATTACTTCTATATATTTAATCTGTTGCATATTTGGGGGTAATCTTTACTACAATAAGGGGTTATAAAAAATTATTAAATTAACAAAGAAAATAGTTTTTGTGCACCGATATTTACACCACACTTTACATCATCACCACTTGTACTCACATAGACATGCACAAGAGCCTTATTTGTGCACAAAGACCAGACACCTCGTATGTGTGTGAAAGCAAAAAAATCATGTTTGCACATGGTGATGTAATTATGTAAACGGTGGGTACAAAATTAGTGAGCAAATAGCATGCCCCATAAATAAGTGTCATTGATGCATTGTCAAGTAATTGCAATGGCTCTAATCACACAAGAAAACTACATTTCCTCTAACTCACCCTTCTTAGATCCATAAATTAGGCAGGAGAACAGGCTGGACTGATCATCACTTGAAGCATTGCAAATAAATCAGTATCTAAAACACATGATCCTGTCATTAAAGGTTAAATCTTTAAAAAGAGGTTAAGTGCTTTAGTTACGCTGTAGAAAATGAACCCTAAAAGGGTACAACAACTAATGCCCTTTCTTTGACACAAAAAGAGGAGATGCAGCAAACCTAAGACTGACCATACATTCCTATATTTAAATGAAATAACAGTGCCATTCAATAAAAACAATCACAGATTAAAATCTAAAAAGGAACTTAAAAATTAAAATAACAATACACAGAACACAAGGGTAAAAAAACTAAAAATTATCACGAATGATAGATAAGTATACTCCAAGAAGAAATTATGAATAAAAAAAGCACCCTTTCAATTGAGTGCATTAATTTTGACCCGTGAAAAAGAAACTATGAGCTTGTGACAGAGATAAAATGGAACACTTTTTCCTTACCAGAGTTTCAATCTTTTGAGACCCTGACAATCAAGCCACTAGATGTCTCGACAGTTCTGAGACGACCAGATCCTATCAAATCGCGGAGATGAAATCTCATATCTAAGGGTGAAAGTCGAAGGCGTTTCTTTTCGAGAGTGGCCATTGTCATCTCTTTGAAATTTCTTCGGTTGAGTAAAGATAAAAGCTCATTTCTTCCCTGATAATAACAGCAAGGTCAGCTCATACAGATAATGTTGGAACTAGGTCGTGTCAAAATTATCATCAATAATGAAATGTTCTAAAAAAACGTGAGGAGTAATAATAAAAAAAACTAATAGATTATCAAGTCATACTTGTGAAATCCCCTTGAGCACTAGTCCAACATTCGGAATTGCAAACCAGTACATGTTTAGATCAATAAGTTGGCCAGTCTAAAATCAGCAGAAACGGGGAGGACCTTAGTCTTCAAACATTAAGAAGCTTGCAGAATATAGGTAAACCGTAAACTATAAACTCATGTAGGCAATCCCAATGTTTGGGGGTCAAAGGCTCAAGGCTTTGTGTTCTTATGAGATACCATTAAAAGAGCAACGCATTAAATGAATATATAGATTGATATGACTTACAAGAAGGCCTCCATTTATCAAGAGGGAGACATGCTCATCTTCCACTTTTCCCCCCAGTGAGAGAAGAGAGCACTACAAGTCAAAAAATCATCATACAGGGAGTTCACAATTTGCATGACATGGATAAAATATATGTCATGCGTAACGAAAGAAAAACATAAATAAAATATCATCAAAAGGGCAGTTTGAATGCATGGGGGGGGGGGGGGGAA